TGGCTAGTATGTACTCTCTAATGTAGGGGGTCCCTAGAGAACCCTTTGCTATATATACTTGAATAAAAATCCTAGCTTCCAAAAGGGTAGACGTTAAAAAAAAAAAATAAAATAAAATAATTATTTTTAAGTTTTTGAAGTTTTTCTAGTAACATTATTTCTCTTTTCAGTTTATCATTTTTGTTTTTCTGAATAGCAAGCTTCTCACGTTTAATTTTTAAAAGACTTTCTTGTTCTTCAATATTAATAGGTTCATTTGAAACTTGAACCTTTTTAGAAGACTTTTGATTGACTAAAGTTTTATTTGAATATTTGCTTTTACCTTTAAATTAATTAATTCATAATCGATTAACATATATTTAATCACAATATTGTAATAATTTATGTGTAATATACTTGTTTTTTTAACTGATTCAGTAGTTCTCTGTAAAGCGATTTATTTCGATAAGAGTCTGGAATATTCGTTTTTTCGTATATATATGCCGAACTTCATTGAAGCTTGTCAAATTCTTTGGCTCTATTTTTTTTAATTATATGTATTAATATATGTAAGTATGTATTACACAAATATGCATACAGAAGTTATAATAAATGTTGTATAATAATACTTTTAAAAAATTTTGATTCTGGGTACTTACTTGGTAATTGCAGCCAATAAAAACAAATTACGCTCATTTCTATTAATATTCGCATAAGCTGATTCTCTAGCATTAGTAGTAAATAGTATATTAGTCCAAATATTCTGTGCCATCTTAGTAAAAGCAGAAGACAATCTAGCAAGTACCCACAGATGCTTTTTATTTTGTACCCAATCTAAAAATATTAATTTTTCAGTTTATATATATTATATAATATGATAATTACAAACAATAATATACTGATAATACCGGGTTCTTCACAAGATTCAAGAAATTTAAGGGTACTCATAGTTTCATAAGCCATTTTGCTTTTAATTAAAGAATATATTTTTTTTAATTTTCTTATTTATCTCTTTTTTGTTGCGAATATTTCTATATGTATATATAAATTAAATAAATATGTATTTAATATGTAATCGTAATTTAAATAAAATTATAAACATTTACCTTTTAAAATATATTGTGCATAATTTATAAATTTGTTCCAAGTGTTCAATAGCATTAAAAATTAGAAATTTATTAGCCAAATATTAACCTAAGCCTAAAATATTAATCAATATAATAATATTTAATTTAACATCACAATATATAATAAAAATTATAGATAATGCTAAAATTGGATGATGCAAAATTTATTAATGATTTGAAAATATAACCCTACAAAAATCTATCTATGCTTTTTTATTAACAACTCTAATCTAAATGCTAACAAAATTTTAGCATCACATTAACTGTAACAAAAATTGATATAAAATTTACCTAATGCTTGACAGTAATGTTCATCAGCTAAAATGTATCTAATTCTACGACTATGGATATGTTGAAACTCAACAAAATATCCATAATCTTGCTCTATGTGAGTAAAAAATTCTTCAAATAACTTTTGATATGTATTTGCTATTTGAAGAATAGTGAAAGCATAATCAAACTATAAACACGTTTAAAACTTATATCTATTTTGAAATACAAAAAATCTGCCAAGTATTTCATTTGATTCTTATATCCACATAATATTAAATATTGACCATTGTTAAAAAACCCTAAAAAATAAAATAAAATTAATGTATATTAATTAAATATAAAATTAGTTATATATTTATATACTTACGAATTGATCTAATATAAGAATTATTATCATTATCTTGCTTTTGTTTCAAAAGCATATTTGCAACACCTATAATATCTTGACCATATGGATGTTCAGCACGATGCTTTGTTGCAATTATATGCTCAATTTTAGACCTATTATTCAATGATAGATATAGTTCTGGAAGTAAAACTCCTTTAAAAAATTGTTGCATCGATATACCTAATATATTTAAAATATACAGTATAATTTAAAATTAATATTAAATTATATAATGTTATGAAATAAAACTATATATATTCATTTTTGCACCAGGTTAATACAAATATATACGAGTGATTAATTTCCAAGCTATCAAATCTAAAATATCCTCCTCTATAATTATGTCTCTTAAATTATTTTGAATTGCTACAGGTATTTTAGATGGCAGAGATAGTGGGTGATTATGAATATTTTGTGACATAATTACAATATATGGACAACTTTTAAGATCTTTAGGGATGTAATGCCAAAATTTAACAGGGTATTCAGATTTTTTTTTGAATTAACCTTTGAGCAACTTTATTATTTTCTGTTATATGAATATAAGCTATATAGACATAAATTAATTAATATTTTAATTTATATTTAAATTAATAAATTAATAAATAATAAAAAAAATATACAGCATTTTTTTGCTTTTGTGCTGAAAGAATATATTGTATAGCAATATCGAATTGAATTGGAAATCTAAATATATATTAGCATTAGTATTTAAATTTTTAATTGTTAAATAATTTAATTTTAGAATAAATACCTCACTACTAATTCTATCATTATAATATGTATGCTTATAAAAAAGTTTTTTTAAATATTCAATATTAACACATCCAGATAAACTTTGATATTGATACCCCCATTCACTATTTTTAAAATTTTTACAACCGATAAAATAAGTAGATGCAGAAGTATCATTCTCTTGCTATTAAAATAAATTAAATTAATATTACTATATAAATATATAAATATAAATATATATATTTATTAAAACCTGATGATGTGTTGCAAGTTTAGATTTTCTGTTATATTGAATACCAGTTTGAGGACAAACAAATCCACATAGCACTTTATGTGTCACAGCAAATACACTAATAAAGAATTATAAAATATTAGTATTAAATACAATATAATTATAAATTTAATATCATAAATATATATTTACTTCAAAGTATTCGAGTCTAATGATAATTCATTTGCTTTAAATATTTTTTTAAACAAATGATCATCAAAGTTTATTGATGTATATATCATTGCGACTAGTTCAGATACTGCAAATTGGCATATTTTAATACCACAACATGTCCTTGTTTCTTTGTAAACTTTAGTTTTAAAAAAAGATAGTAAACACTTTCACAGGTAGTTCCATTCTTATATACATACTGAATATTCTTAAGATCAAAGATCTCAAGAGCTTTTTCAGTATCCATACTGGCAACATTATATACACAAGTGACTCTATTCTCAGATGTCTCTAGATATTCTTCAAATTCAAGCTGATATTTAATTTTATTAACGATTTCTGACTTCGCTTTACCTAATTTAATTAATAAAGACTATATAGATATTAAAATTTTATATTTAATATTTTACAATTAAATTTGTGTGGGCAAGAGAAAATATATAATCTAAAAATAGATTATTATGAATTTCATAATAATCTATTTTTAAATTGTATATTTTCTCTTTCTCGCACTCATATATAATGTATCTTCTCAATTTTTTTAACTTCTTCTGTAAATTCTTCAAAATTTAATGTCACGATTTGTTCATTAAACTTCTACTATATTATATAAATCAAATTATTATTTAATCCTTAATCCTAAAATTTAAATTATTTTAAATTTATACCGTAGATAGATTTTCTGGGTCTTGAAAATCTTCATTCGAAGGATCAGAATCCCATTCATCAGAATTTTGTTTATTGCTATGATTCTGTTGGTTATCAAAATTTTATTTATTATTGAAACCTTGTTTATCGCTAAAATCTTGTTCATCGTCAAACCTTTGTTCATTATCATTAACGTGTTGACCTGTTTCAAACAGGTAATCTGATTCATCGTCAAAACTAATAGCGATAGCTATAGGTTGACCTGTACTAATTTGGTAAGCTATTTATGATGTTAGACATATGTATATATAAGAAAGAAATGTACATACTACGAATAAATAACTAAATTTGTACAAAAAAGAAAAATTCATGCAATACGATAAATGAAAATGATTGTGATATAGTGATACGTAGTAAATTTATGCAATAATGATAAATAAAATGATCGTGATATGTAGTAATTATGATTGTGCAACATGATCGCAATATAATATATATACTGTCTTGATATCTTTATTTTGTATTAAATACACAATTCAGTACAAAAAGCTCTAAACATCTATTACTATAAGTGATGTATTATATCGTATTATTTTAAAATTTATATAATACGGTACTAAATTACTTTAATACTACGCACATTCGTACTGTATCATATCATTTCAAAATTCTGAACAATACAGTACTAAATTACCTTCCGTACAGTATACTATATATGTATATTTCATCTAGAGAGCTATGTAATGCAGGTTATACAAGATTTGTATATAAATTATATTTAAATAGTAAATATAGAGATTTTTTAAAAAAATATAAAGAAAACTTTTTTCTTACTAAGTAAATCACTCTTGGGCTTTTAACAAAAGTTATAAAGCTTATCATGATGCATCTAATAATAGTAAAAATACTAAAATCAGACTAGTAGTTCTTGAGAAATCTTTAAAAAATGTTTTGTTAATATATAAAAAAAATTAATTTTTTTTAAAGAAATTTTATATATTAGTAAAATATTTTTTAAAAATTTCTCAAGAACTACCAAGCTGATTTTAGTATTCTTACTACTATTAGATGCATTTTGATGAGCTCTACAACTTTTATTAGAAGTCTAAGAGTGATTTATTTAGTAAGAAAAAAGTTTTAGAAGAAATCTCTTTATATTTGGCTTAATAGTAAAATTTATTTATAAAATTTGCAGATCCTCTCCAGATGATAGATAAATTGTCTATTAAAACAAATGCACAAGACATTTTATAACTATTTAAGCTATAGATTTGATATCACCTAGCTTTCTCTATAGGTGCTTAAGTATAGTCTGCTATATTAGTTAAAACTATTGCTTATACCAAAAGGCTGAACCAAGCTAGCCAGTAAAACTATAGCAAGATGATTTCAAATTAAAAGAATTTTCTATTACATTAAATTGGCAATTTATCTTTTAAATAATCTTCTTTTTTAAAATAATATTCTAATTTTCTAATAATAAATAATTTTACTTTCTCTTTTAATCAAAAGTTCTTGTCAGAATTCTTTTATATAAATCTGTATTTTCTTTTTCTCTTCTTCTAGTTTAACATGCCTTTTCTGATTAAGAGCCTAGTTGATGAAAGTCTTTATGTATTATTCTCTTTAGACTTTTTTCATATTTCATAGCTTCATATTCTCTTTCTTCTTCTTAGAGGCTTGCACTATAAGTTTTTTCTATAAATATTCTTTTATAAACTCCTATTTCCTCTAGATGTCTAAGGTCTTCTTTTGTTTCTTCTACTTCTAGATCATGGTTACTCTGTTTAATTTTTTTTCTTTTGTAGGCTAGATATAGTAGTTTTCTTTTTTTCTTCTCTTTATTTTCTTTTTTTTTTTTTTTTCTAAATTCTGATTTTCTTTCCAAAAACTTTTCTTATATTTCGATAAAGATTTCTTGATTTTTGAAGTATTCTATAAAAATTTTTTCTACTATCTCTAATAATATCTCTTTTTTTTTCTTTTTCCAATTCTTGGTTTCTTTTAAACTAGATATTAATGTGTCTTGAAACAAATTCATATCAAGATTCCATTGAGACTTCAAGCTCTATATCTATTTTGTGAGCAGATCTTTCTTTTTCTTTTTCTACAATTTATTATTGCTGTGCGAATCTTTAATATTTGTTTAATATATTACTTCTATTAGCTATTCTATTGAAATTGTTAATATGATTTTTGGTCCTGTTTTTTCTTAAATCTTGTTTAGTATTTTTACTTCTATAAAACCTGGGATATCTTGTTTCTTGCTTTTCTTTTCCTTTTCTTTTCTGGTTTTCTTTTTTTTTTTATGGCTTGCTGTGGTGAATTCAACAGATACTTTAAACTACATTACTAGAGTCCTTAATGCTATTTTGTTATGTTGCCTTTATCAAGTTTTTTTTATTCATGAAGTCTTTTGCTCTAATCTAGATCCAACTTCAACTTTATTTTAATAGCTTGTTTTTTTTTGTTAAGCTTGTATCTTTTTTTCTCTTTTTTAGTTTTTTTTCTTATCTCTTGCTAGTTTGCTATAATAGTTTTAATGAATTCTTTGAATTGATGTATCAAAACATTAGAGCTATTTTGTTGTACTGTTTTTGTTAGTTTTTTTTTTGTTCTTGAAGTTTTTTGCTCTAACTTAATTTTAGTTTTAACTTTAATTTAGTATCTTGTTTTTCTCTTTTTTTTAGTACTCTTCTTATTTTGTTATCTATCCTTAGTTTTATCATTTAACTAACTATTTCTTCTTTTATAATACAATTAACTAAGTCTTCTCTTTTTTGCATTATTTCGTAAAAAACCTCATAGTCTCTTTTTATAAGTACAAGTTCTGTATACTTTAGTTCTCCTCTGTTATACTGCTATAATTCTTTATAAAGCTTTTCTATTTGTGTCTTGGTTATTTTTTTCAGAATGAGTTTTTGTCTAGCATATTTTGCTATTATTTCTTCTACATCTGTGTCTATTATTATTTCATCAGTTATTGCTACTATCAAGTTCTGAATATCTTTTAATATTACTTTTAATCTTCTAAAATATTTTGTTAACTTTTGCTTCATATAATTTGTTGTTTTGAGATTATTGTTGTTTGTTGTTGTTGCTTGTTGTAATTGTTTACTACCTTTGTTTACTTTCATTATGTAGTTTTTGTTATATTTCTTTTGTTTATTTTTTGTTATATGTTATAGTTCTTGTATTACTAAAACAGATCTGTGATTCAAGGTCAAAGCTATTTCTCCAAAAATTTAAAAAATACAAAAAAATATTTATGATTTTTCACAACTTCTTCTATTTCTTTGCTATTTTGTCTCATTCTACTCAAGTCTCTTAAGAGACTGAGTGTTTCTTGTGGTTTTCATTCGCTTTATTTAGAGCTTCAAGTTTGGTTTCTTAGTAACTTTTGTATATTTTTTGTGGTTTTTTGTTAATTTTTATTTCTAAAAATTTGTGTTTTGATAATTAGTGAAAAGA